ACCGATCAACCCGGTTACTTGCTGATGTGGCATGATGACGTGTCAGTTTTGATGACGTAGGATGCTGACATGACATGCTGACGTGTCAAAATTGAATTTTTTTTTCCACAAAAGACACTAAGTTTTCATTTGTTTCGATTTTGACATTAAGTTTTTTTTTCAATTTTGACACTCTATTTTTTTGTACCAAATCGAAAATCATTTTTCCAATTTTGTTCAATGACGATCATTTTCTATTTTGAAACCTTATAATTATTTAATCGTAAATAAAAATATGTGTAAAATCTACAACAAAAAATAAAATAAATAATATTTTGATAAGTGATAATTGATAAAATTTTGTTATTCTTATTTGAAGTTTATGGTTAGTTCGACTCACATTATATAGCTAAAAAGATTTATAAAACATATGCTTTGAATGTAAAAAAAAAACTTTGTATTTATATAAAAATATGGTTTTTAAATGAAAAAAAATATTATAAGGTTTAAAATGTAATAAAAAAATATTTATACGGTTTCAAATGGAAAATGGTCAGCATTAAACAAAATTGAAAAAAATAATGTTCGATTTGGAACAAAAAAATAGAGTGTCAAAATTGAAAAAAAAAAAAAAACTTAGTGTCAAAATCGAAAAAAAATTTAAAACTTAGTGTCTTTTGTGGAAAAAAAATTTCAATTTTGACACGTCAGCATGTCATGTCAGCATGCCACATCATCAAAACTGACACGTCATCATGCCACGTCAGCAAGTAACCGGGTTGACCGGTCAAGTGGTCAGAATTGTAACAAATTAGAAAACAAAGTATCAAATTTAAGACAAAAAATAACACAGTGTCAAATTAGAATTTTCATGTAAACGTAGTGTCTTTTGTAAATTACCCAATTAAAAAAAGATTTAATGTATAATTATTGAATAAAATTAAAAAGAAGAGATGTATAAATGGTCATTGTATTTTGGTTGCAGAAATGGTCCATGAGGGTAAAAATGTCATTTTGAAAAAATTAACAACCAATTTGTTAAAGTTAACATTTTTGGACCAAAAATACTCAAAGTATCCAAAATTGGACTACTTTTGCACCACAATACATTTACGGACCAAAATCACATAATTTTGACAACCACAGGGACCCTTTTTGCAATTTTATCAAGTATAAGATATCTCTTACAATCTATTTAGGTCCCGTTTGATAGTTGCTGACTGAGAAAGTGCTGACTGAGAAATGTCTGTCTGGGTAAGAAATCATGGTCGAGTAAGAAACATTGTTGTTTGATTGTACATCTGACTGAATATGCTTACTGATGAAAAATGACAATTTCACCCCTGCTGCTCTATACATTGTTTTTCAACAATTCAAACAATTCATTTTTTGACCAAATTCACATTCATTAATCAATTTAAGCAAGTGATGGATGAAATTGAAGAATCAAGAACAGGGGAAACGTGAATGGATGAAATCAAGTCACCTATAATAGTTGCTTAACATTTGAATACAAGGTCAAAAGTCAAAACTACACTTTTTGTGGTAGGAGCCTGCATGTTATAAAGAATGTATGATGATGAGGAAAAACTAACAATCTACAATCATAAATTACAATTAACATGAAAGTTTTTTCATCACATTAAACAATAAAAATGCAAAAACATTGTATAGTGTATGTTCTGTTTAAGTGTGGAAATGAGTAGTACATACAGTTGTGCATATAGCCCTATCATAAAAATTTTTGAAAAGTCCTATGACATTAATCTAGACTCAATCTGTGTGACAACCCGGAATTTTTTTTTTTTTGATTTTAAAGCCCATTCAATCAACTCAAATGAGTGTCAACTCATTATACTGAGTCTAGCCCTGTTAAAGGTCTTTTCTAAGGAGTTTAGGCCTAGTACACTTAGGAATAAGTGTTGGAATTTATCTGCTAAAGGCCACAGTACAAGAATCAAGCCCTAAACTCCATCAAATGGAGTTTACGACAGTAAACATGGAGTTTACGGCCGTAAACTCCTCCATATAAGTTCATTTCCTTCACTTTTCTTCATTCTTTCACTTTCCCTTCAAGAACACATGAGTTTTCTCTCAAGTATCATCCCGATCTTCATGCTTGATCTTCAAAAATCGTAAGTCTTCTTTCTCTAGTTTGTTGATAATCCTTCTTAACTAGCTTCATCCTCATGATTCATCCATAAAAATCATGTTTTCTTAGATCTTCAAGTTTCACCAAGAACACCAAGAACACGCACTAGTGTTCTTGGCCAATATCAACAATTTCAAGCTTCTAGATCGTAAGTACACTTCCCTATTATACTTCATATCTAGTTAGTATCCATGCTTAGAGACTTGGAAACATCAAGAACACAAGATCAAAGGGAGTTTACGGCCGTAAACTCCCAAGACCATAAACCCCTTTTTGGTGGCCATTAGGGCCATAAACCCTATAGGATGCAAGGCAAGTGACCCAGAACCCTTCCTTGAAGTGTATAGATCCTTAAACATCGAAAACATCAAGGACCATTACATCAAGGACCATTAGAGTTTACGGCCGTAAACTCATGGAGAAATGGTCCATGGGCCGTAAACTCTACAAAGGGGTGAAATGTTGCCACAATCACTTCCTAAGGCTTAGACTTGAAGTAAGGATGCTTCATTATGACCTTTAGGACTTCAAAACACAAAATGGTAGAAGTACCATGAGTTTACGGCCGTAAACTCATGGGTTTACAACCGTAAACTCCAAGGGAGTTGGTCCCAAAACCGTAAACTCATAAAGAGTTTACCCTTGGACCCTAAACTCAAAATCCAAGCCCTACAACCCTTAGATGCAATCCTTAGTACTTATAGCACTTAAATCAAGTGTTTTTCATGTCCTAGGATGTCTTAACTTAGTTAATTAGTTGTTAAATGACTAATTGTGTATGCAGGTGCTCGTGCTGGGGATTCGGAAGATGAAGCATTATAGCTTCAAGTCTTGTTTTGTTATTTGTGTATGAATTCTATGTTTTGTGAACACACACATTGTAAACACTTTCTTTCGAAATGAATATTGTTCATTACTTGCTTACCATATACATATCTCGTGATACTAAACATGACGTCCTCCACCCCTGAACGATTCCGCCGTTCCGGTTTTGGGGTGTGACAATATGCCACCGGTTACATAAATTAACATTTGTTGTTAAAATGTGATACATACGAACAAAAGGCCCCATGGAGAGCAGATAGTAATTGCACCAGTTATAGGAACATCTTCCCCATCTTCTCCGAGATACACCTGATACATAATTACCCAACTTATCATAAACAAAATTTTAATAAACAAAACACCAAAAACTAATCTATCCATCAACAACCCAATCTTTAGTTTAGATAATAACCCATCCACCAAGATACTTATAACTATTCATATTTCAATATATAATTATCATGTATGACTTGCCAATTGCCATTAGTAATCTTTCAATAACAAACAAATTTGAACTTTGAAGCATGGACTTAAAAAACGTAAAGAATAGAGAATAATTTTGTTACAGAGCTTGTAATACTCACATAACACAGCATTAGGAAACAAAATATAAAATATAAATTAATGCAAGATTAAACGTGAATGGATGAAATCAAAACAAGTTGAGATGAATTATTGATTAACAACTTTTCGATTAATGATTCAGCCACAAAACGAATTTCTTGATTCAATAAATTACAACATAACAAATTGAATCACTGAACTAATTGCTCGATTCAATTGAATACCAACAAGAGAAAGATCGAGAATCGTGAATTAAATCGATTTGACTTGATAACAACTGATGCGTAATACAATCGAGAACAAAGAACGAGGACAAGAATGATCATAATCCAGATTATTTTACTCGATTCTTGATATACACAGTGAAATAGAAATCGATGTGAATACTAACGTCAAGAACGGATACAATATCAATCCAACCCAGACATTTTCAAAAAACGAAATCGATAGAAATCGGAATCCATACATTTTCAAAAAAATCGGAACTTGTAGAGAAAAACGCATACCTAATGAGAAGAGGAAGAAGGCGTCGATCGGTGGGGCTGTGGAGGCACTGAAAGAGAAGCGGTAGGGCATGGGCACAATTGGAACACGCTTCTTTCTTTCTCAGTCAGGCAATTCCAATCTTCTTACCCAGTCAGATTTTTCATTCTGAGCCAGACGTCCGAAATTGTTTTATCAAACAGCTTTAGCTGACCGAGTCAGCCAAAAATGTCTAACTTGACTCGGTCAGATGTATATCAAACACAACCTTAATCTTGCATTGATTGATGGGTATCCTGCCATCTCATATAATAACATGAATTGGATCTCATTTGTTGAATACTATCAAGTACCAACCTCTATTATAGGATCGCATCAACATTCTTTATTGTAAAATTTTGGCAAAACATGGTTGCCGATTATTTAAATTTTCTCTCTCCAAATTATATAAGCACCATATATGATAAATAAATAAATAAACAAACACCCTTTTCAGTCTCTGATTGAATATACTGCTCTTTTCATATTTCATATAAAAAAATCAATACAGAAACAATTCTTCTCGGATCATCTGCTTATTTGTTTCTATATATTCCCTAAGGCTAAAGGGACAAAAAAAAATAAGGGGTAATTCACAATTTCTTTAGATCTGTAAGTAAATCCAATTCACAACTCAACTTTACCTAAATGTTTTAGTTGTTGATTTTGGTATTCATTTAACAAAAGCTGTGCATATAATATCTCATTCCAAGAATCTGGTACTCCAGGAAGACACCAATGGCTGCAATCTTGAAAGTGTAATGGTGATCTTCTTTCTTCATCTGAGTAATGTTTTTTTCTATAGATTGAAGGGTGTCCATCTTTCCTAAAATCTGTCAATCTTGTAATGTTTAGATATGAAACTCGTGTTTTCATTCCTCTTAAAACCTTCAATACCTAATATCCTTATATATATGGTTGTGTCATATAGTTGTTTTTATTCATCTTCACTTCATTGTCACATCATTGTCCTATAATTCCACTGCCCTCCTCTACATAAATATATAATTTCAGATCAATTTGATAATTTTCACAACATTTGATCATAATTGTAACTTTATTTGATGTTAATTTACCTGAAATGAGAAGCAGAATAACCACGGAAAAAGACTAAAGATTTGCTACGGTTTATATTGGCATCAACCCATCTTCCCCATGTTGTCATGGCTTTACGAAATGCTTCTAGAACATTGAGTTCACCATAGACATGGCTGCCTTCTTGATAATAATCTTTCCTGAAAAGTTTTGATTTTGATTATCAGGGTTATTGAGAAAAGGAAAAAAGAAACTTTTGGTGGAATAAAGATTGAAGATAAGACATACCCTTTTGCGGTTTTTTCATGAGTCCACCAATGACCGGTGTTGAAAACAACAATGTCGGCGTTTTTGTATTGATCTGCAGAAGTACCAATTAAATCGAGGCGTAGGGTTTCCTTTTTTGCTCCATTTTTGTCTTTTGTTTCGGATTCTCTAACAATGAATGGAGCCACAAAGAATTCGACTGTACAATCATAATCCTACAAGTCCAAAACGAAAGAAAACTAAGAATATTGATCGACATTACAATCATTAGTGAAAAGTTTAACATGAATGGAACATACCTTGAATACAAACGAATAAGAAGGTTCTGATCTAAAATGGTGTCTTCCTGAAGCTTCGTAAACTTTTGTTTGATCTTTAATGGAGTTTCTTAGAATACATATCAATGATTCCCACATGTTTCTGTTCAATGAATCGCCAACAAAAACTAATCGTTTTCCTCTCAATAGCTGCAACATTCGGCTTCCATCTAACCTGTACAAATAGTTTCATAAAACATTTAAGACTTCACTATGATAACACCATTGAAGTCAAATTTGACAGCAAAATTTAAAGCACACGCCATTTTGAATATATCAAGTAACTTTTTATGGATTAGAATGGTCAAAATCAAAAAGAATATGGTTGTTGAGTGTAATTGAAACAAAATCTATAAAAAGGACTATGGTTGTTGAGTGTAATTGAAGCAAAATCTATCAATTAATGATGTTATAAAGTACGATAAATTAGCAACCCGCTAACAAGAACGTGTAACAAATGAAATTGGGGGTTTTGACTTTTAACACACTAACCTGGGTAACGTGCAAGCTTTAGGCTTCCATTTAAGCATCTGAAATCCTTTATCAGGCCTGCCATTTACGAAACAGTTAAATTGCTCATCGATCAATGAACATGAACCCGGTTTGTACAATGGATATGATTCATCTCTCACCCAATTCCCATCAAACAGGTTACAGTTTGACAAATTCTTCACCAAATCCTCAATCCCCGGCTTCGCTAACCTTCCTGTATTCGTTCCATTATTCCCTCCTTTATTCACTACAGAAGAAGTGGAATTCGCACTTCCGTTACTGTTTTCCGGCATCGATTTTGGGATCCCCGAACTAGATTTCGCTCCACTTTGGGTAGCATTTTTGAGGGTTTCCGAAGACTGTTTTGGTTTTGTTTGCGTAGTCTGATTTGAAACAGATTGAGACGGAGGAGTCCTAATCGTTGTCTGATTCGTCTTCATAGATTCAAACTTATCACGAACACCTCCAGTTCGTGTCTGATTTGGAGCAATCGGTGGATGATTATTCACTGTCGGTGCTTCACTATTTGCACTTCTAGATCCAGCAACAGTAGCATTCGAACTGGATGTAGAAACCGTGGAATTCTGATTTGATTGTGTAGAATTTGAATTGAAAAGGAAAAGAATAAATGGAAGAGAATTGGGATCTAATACCACCATCAGAAGAACTAGCTGTACCATTGGGTTGCAAATTTGTACTACCACTACTCCTACTACTAGAGATCCCAAAGCTTGAACCACTGAAGATATTCGAGAACCATGGAGAAGAAGGATTAGATGAAGGATTAAAAGCCAGAAAAACAGTAAGAACAACAAATACAGCCATAAATACATAAGCAAAAGCCCTAGTCCTTTTGGTTTTAAAAGAGAATATCTTCGTAAACTTGAAATCCGACACCACAGCTCCTCCATTAACGGGCATATACTTGGTTGATTCCGCCATGGAACTGGAACAACACCCAACCAAAAGCAGAAATCAGTAAATTTCAGTGTTTGAGAGACAAAAGTAGAGAGAGAAAGGATGTGAACGTAGTCCCGTGAGTGTTGTTTCTAGAGAGAGAAGATGATTATGGCAATGAGTGTGTGTTGTGGTGTGAATACCGGTAATTACTAATGCTGAATTTTAAATATTCATTTAATATCAACATTCTTCTAGTGTACAGGATTCTAATTAAGGCTTGGAAATCAATGGATTTACAGGAATGCCACTGTATGTCACATTCCATCAATTCCGCGTTGCATCTTGTTATCTACTATTCTACTTACTATTTAGACGCGGCAATTCTACTTACTATTTAGACGCGGCAAAGTGTAGTCTGTAACTTTGTACTATTTGATTACTATATGTAATCATGTATTTTAATTTAATTATCTTGATGTAAAGTAACAACATAATAGTTTAATCTTTTTCTTTTATATTTTTTGACCTAGGTTTTTTTTTTTTTTTCTAAAACAGAATTATTACAATTAGTTTGATAATTTTTAAACGTGTACTTTTTGTTTCAAGATATAATAAATTTATATATTATTAAATCAGTAAAATTGGACGATTTAATTAAAAAGGATAAATATCTTCTTGTAAAACACATAGCATCATCGTATGTTATGAAAATTCTATCAGCTGACCATCAAACTACTTGCTAAAAGGAAAGTCTAATAAGATGTGATATAAAATGTAGGTTATGTAATAGATTAATAGGAGTTAATCACAAAAATAACAAAAAAAAAAAAGGCAACGGTATAACTTTAAATAACAATATATTCAATATTTATCATAAATATCATTTATTTTGCGGAAAACACACGAAATTGTTTTTTTAATATTCAAATAAAATAATGTCTATGCGATAAACAATTCACAAATCACAAAATCTTTATTTTTAAGTTTTTTTCTAAATACATACACATTTATTAAGAGCGTCTCTAGTAAAAAATAATTAATCACCAAATGTTATATATATATATATATATATATATATATATAATATATATATATATTTATATATATATATATATATATAATTTTAAAAAAGAGACCTTTAATTTTAAATCGAAGAAATCAGGGTCATTAATTGCTTTTCAATCCTATATTTTTCACATTTAGATTATTTGCTGACATCATCTTTGCCAACCCTTTTATTTTTGTCCACAAATTTTATAAAACATATATTACGTTTTAAATTAGGAAGTCTATTGGTGACAATTAAATCTCACCAAAAATAAAATGTATGAAATTAGGATTTCTATTAATAACAATTAAATCTCACCAAAAATAAAAATGAATTAAATTAGGAATTCTATTAATGACAATTAAATCTCACCCCAAAAACATAAAAAAAAAATGTCCCGCCCCATCTCTCATTACCAGTACCCCTACCCTCTCTTCCTTTTTTCTTTACATAATTTATCTAACCTAAGTTTTGTAGAGGGGAGGAAAATGGGGAAAGAAGAAATAGAATATATGTGGGCTTCAATCTGTGTAGACTAGTCTTGTGTTCGATCATCATGAAAGAATGAGAATGATATAGAGATAAATTTTCTTTGGATTCTAATTTTATTTTGGTCGTAGTTTAGATCGATTTTGGTATGTTTTAGATTAAGTTCTTTTATTCTCTGTTTCAACTATGAAGTTCCAATCTATAAACATTTCGATTTAAGTTTAAATCCATAATTGTTACATTTTCTGAATTTGCTTTGATTTTTGTTCTTATGATCTGTATTGTTGATTTTGATTTTTTAAGTTATAGATATCTGGAGAGCAAAATAATGGAAACAGCAGCACCGCTACCAGGAAGGACCGCAGACTACCTCTCATCCATTGTTTCGATTTGGAAGATATGTCCACTAGGTAGTGAATTTGTATATGTCGATTTTCTTTTTTATTTTTACATTTTTGTATATTCATTTAGTCAATGATTTTTTTGTGGCTTACCAAGTCGTGAATGGAAGATATACTCGAGTCAATATCTATAATGCTTTACCCATTCAATCCCTTCCTGGATTTGGAGATAGAATTTAAACCCTTATACCATTGAGTGATCCACATATTCTACAACTCAACCAAACCCAGTAGTGATATGTGTTTTGATTTATTGTAAAAAAAACATATTTAAAAATACAAATTGGGCTCTCAGAAATAAGTTATTCACTTATCCTTTTTTAATATTATAAAAAACATCTTTTAGACTCAATCGCAAAGAAAAGACAAAGTTTTAGTATACCATGTAAACAGATTACATCGATAAATCTTATTGGAAAATGTTTGGGATTGATTAATTTTGGTTAATTAGCAAGTTTTTTTTGGTTAACTTATGTTGTCTGGGCATGCCGAGAAGCATAGTAAGAACCTTGCACAACCTTATTCTTTCGTTTAACTGGTTTGAATCTTCTTATTGAGTTTACTTTCTCGAGTATAAATGGGTACACCCTACACTCTTGAAAATAGGGTTGGTAACATTGTGAGTATCAAGGTTTTCTCAGCAATAAGAGAAGATATTTGTATAAAAGTTGCAATATAAATCATTTTTAATTACATAATAATAACTAAACAAAGTTATGTGAAGGATTATCTTTATAATTTAAATTGCAATATATAACATAAAAATCGTATGAAATTTTCATTGTTCCATTCCATGCCTCACAAACATGTTTCTGGAATGGAATTACTTATTCTATTATCTTGCTTTTACGATTACCTATCCATTCCATTTCTTTGTTGTTTCATTCTTTGCAACCTCACATATCTCAAAAAAGTAATTCAGAAATCCATCATATAATAGAAAATGTTATATAAACTCCTATAAGGGAAGAAGAAAGATAAGACTAAATGAGTGTATGATGTTAATCTAATTATGATGTTCTTTCGTCACTATTTGTATGTTTATAGCTTGTTTGTAGTATTGTCTATAAAATATTGTTGTTATATTTGAAAGTTCATTTTACCCTTTTCATCTTTTTGTGTGTATATTTTAATCTTTCAGGTTTTTTTAAAGTATTTGAGGGACCGTTTTTGCTTGGGAGTGGGGTGAAGTCAAGGGCCCTAAAACTGGAGGGTAGTTGTATTTAGAGTCACTTAAATATTGAAGATTTTTGTTGGCATTAATTTCAATAATCATATATACCCTAGAAGAGATATCGTAACCATAGTTTATTTTTTATAATGTTTTTTTGTATATTTATTAAATGTTGTACAGGTGATGTCTACAAGGTGTTGGTATTTTTTTTGGCAAGTTATTACGCTATCTAACACCCCTATAATCTATAATATTTGTATAAGATGGTGACAATTATTATTTTTTATTGCAGCTTCTCTTCATATTGATTATCCAATGTGGTTTGAGTTCTGGAATGCTGCCACCGAGAGGATTCGACATTGTGGGGCGTTGGAATTAATTACAGAATGAGACATGATTTATATGCCTTTTTGGGTATTAATGGAAATGTTTAATTATTGCTCATATAGATCGATAAGTATTTTACAATATGCTCTTTTAACCTTATATTAGGACCTTTTTTGGAAAAAATTGTTTTTAGTATTGAACTTTGAAAAAAAAAGTTCATATATAGCATCGTACTCTTAAAAAAATGACTTTTTTGGATTATTTTTAGTTGATATGGAAAGTTACATTTTTTGTATATTGAAGATCATTTAAAGGACTGTCTTCTGAAAAAAAAAATTCATTAATAGCATTAAACTTTGCAAAAAAGTTCATTAATAGCAACGTAGTTTCAAAAAAGGACTTTTCCGTATTCTTTTTGGCTAATCTAGAAAACTTTTATTTTTATGTATATTAGAGTTCATTAATAGGATTTTTTTTGAAAACATTTTGTTAATGGAAAGTACATTTTCATTTTCTTTCGCATATAGACCATTTATGTAAAAAAAACATTTCAAATATGGGTCATTTATGTATTTTTGTTCACAAGTGAACCATTTATGTAATATATAAATTTAAATGTTAATTAGTAGGTCATTAATATGACAATTTTCTAAGGAAAATTTGTTTTTAGTATTGTAATTTGCAAAAAAAAAAAAAAAAAAGTTCACTAACGGCATTGTACTTAAAAAAATATTATTTTGGAATATTTTTAGATGATATTGAATCGTTTCATGTTTTCCAACATTGAAGCTAATTTGTAGGACAGTGTTCTGAAAGCGAATTTTATTAATATCGTTGAACTTTGCAAAAAAAATTCATTAATAGCATCGTACTTTAAAAAAAATATTTTTTTTTGGAATTCTTTAATTGCAGGTAGATTCCTTGAATACCTACCTTGATGAACATATGTGGATAAATCTTTATGGAAAATGATAAAATCCTGATATGACAACCCGAACAAGAAAAAGAAAAACTCAGTTTTGACTAACCTAATATATTCAAAATCTTTATTCATTTTAGTAGCTTACACACCATTTAAATGCTCTCAAAATAGCATATGAAATAACTTCGATATGTAATGAAGCTAATATGTTATTTGACATGTTTTGTACTTTCTAATGATCATTACCAGGAAACATTTGAAGGATTTTTTTACCAGAAAGAATGTGATCAATATACAAAACAATGTTGCATATTCAGAACCTAATGTTCTTAAGTTACTGTAATAAGGTCTTCCTGTAATAGTTGATTGACCCTACCCAACTATCCCATGCAAGTTAATGGATTTATGTTGTTCTAAATGTGTTAAAATGCTTCACTTAGGTGTTACTCAACACATGGTCTGCGGACTATCCACATTGATTTCATGATTGAGAAGAACACATCACATCGACCAAGATCAGACCATCAACCATATTAGTGACCCCCACTGAGATTAGCAGTGTAATTTGAGTAATCATCCAAAACAGACAATGAACTTTGAACTGTAGTAAATCTAAAATCAATTCCTAAATTGTACATCAAACTTCCAACGTTAAACCTTGAACATTTTCAGTTAATGCTATCGAGTTGATATGCATTTGATTATTTAGGTATATCATAAATTGTTTAGCTTCCCCTGTTGAATTATGGCGTGAATGTAAAGTTTTACGTTTAACCGTAAACATGAGGCTTTAGTTTGGTTGTCTAACTAATGATTTGGATGAGACAAAATCATTTGATGAGTGGATTCTTA